TCGACTTGGACAATTTTCGGCATAGTGTACTTGCGCCATGTGATAATAATATAGTCCATACTAATTTATTATTTTATTTTATTTATTTGGAAAACAATATTATTAAAGAGGAAAGATTTGATTGTTTGTTGTTTGAAGTGAATATTATTATGTTACGAAACTAGGACAGATTTGAAAAACAATCTGCTAGTTCCTTAGATTAAGTAGCGCGTTCAAGTTCAACTAAACAAAGACTGACTCACTCACTCATCACGAAATCTCAGAAACTACAAGTGCTAGGAGTCTCAAATTTTGCATGGGGGTTCCTTTTAGAACGTAGGTGCTCACTAAGACGGGATTTTCCAAAATTCAACCCCTAAAGGGTAAAACGGGGTCCACGCGTACGAAGTCGCGGGCGGCCGCTAGAACTGATGGTTGAATAATAATAATAATGTCTTTATTGTTTTAAATCGTTTTATTAGATCCTTATGATTCATCTCCTTTTTTCAGGGATACGGTTTCGACCTGCGCTATACATTGTTTAGTTTCACATCTGTCGTCCACATTTTCTTACCCTGCAAAAATGCTGCTACGTTGAAAGACATGGTAAGTAGACAGAAAATTCTTCTTATTTTTACCCGACTGCGTCAGAAGGAGGGTTATGTTTTTCGAGTGTAATGTATGTATGTATGTATATTTCTTTGGCACGGCCTACAGCCTAAACGGCTAGACCGATTTTAGCGTGAGAGGTGTCGTTAGATTCGTCTTAATCGTGAGAGTGACTCTGGCTACATTAAAATTGAAAAAAATCTAAATGGCGGATTTTAGGCGCCATGTTTTTTTTTCAAAGCCTATCGAGTGGGATATCATAATAAAGGCCTTTTATGTAGCTTATAAAAATGTATGTTATTTAACTAAAAAGATTAAAATAAAATTATTATTGAATACCTACCTACACAAAAAACCCAACTGCGTAAAAATGAACTAAAAAGATAAAAACAAGCCTTAGTGTTCACAAATGCAGTCGGAGGCATCAAATACATATCGGCAACATAAGAATTATTCATTGAATGTCCTGCGCTGCCCACATCCAGTATTTTTCTTAGTCTCTTCTTCTTCTTGTCGTGTAGACAACAAACCTACACACTACACAGTGTCAGCAGTTCGTTAAATCTCTTGCCCGTTTTAACCGTATATCCCTATTTTTTAAGTGACCCCTAAGAGAACAAAATTCCTGTTGTGTTATCATAGTTATAGGGGTCACTAAAAAATTAGGAATTGATGGTGAGAACAGGAAGCGGGAAGAGCCTGGATGCGGGCAGCGCAGGACCGTTCATTGTGGAAAACCTTGGAGGAGGCCTTTGTCCAGCTGTGGACGTCATTCGGCTGAAATGAACGAACGAAGATGGCGAAAACGGGCATACTCTTTTACTGGACCAAATTAATTTAATTCTCCGATAAAGTCCACAGAAATGTCGACAATGATCTACAGCTCGGGCTGGGAGCGTTCGCGCGAGCGCCGAATCCTGCGCATGATACCGTTCATGGTTGCGCGCGCGCAAGTCCCGAATTACATCACCGCTTTCAACCTGTTCATTTTTGATATGGAGCTGTTTGTTTTTGTAAGTTATTTTTATGCAATAGCCGCCTAAATATACATCCCAACTAATATTATAAATGCGAAAGTAACTCTGTCTGTCTGTCTGTCTGTCTGTTACGCTTTCCCGCTTAAACCTCGCAACCGATTTTGATGAAATTTGGCATAGAGATAGTTTGAGTCCCGGGAAAGAACATAGGATAGTTTTTATCCCGGTTTTTGAAACAGGGACGCGCGCGATAAAGTTTTTCTGTGACAGACAAAATTCCACGCGGGCGAAGCCGCGGGCGGAAAGCTAGTATACTATATAACTCAAAGGTGACTGACTGACATAGTGATCTATCAACAACGCACAGCCCGGCATACAGGTAGATGTTATGACGTACGCTAAGAAAGGATTTTACGAAACTCCACCCCTAAGGGGGTAAAACGGGATCCACGCGTACGAAGTCGCAGGCGGCCGCTAGTTTTTATATAAATTAATAGCTAAGTCATAGATAGATGTTTGCCAAGATGCAAAAAATGTGGCTATACGAGTATTTTATTAACGAAATTGTCGTTTAATGTATTCGATCTTTACTTCTAGTGTTTTTAAGCGCATGATTTTAACTGAACACTAATCTTTGTGATGGTTGTTCTTATAGCACTTACTAAGTATTTTAATATTGAATAATATTTTTTGTTTCAGATTCTACGAACTTCGTACTCTATGTACACACTTATTAGATCTTAGAATGTCTAATATTTTTACTAAGGAAACGCATTTTATTTATTATAGCACAACAATGTAAACCAATATGAAACAAATAAATTTTCAACTTTCTATTATTTTTTCTGACATTCCTAACAGAGTTTAGAAAACTTATAGTTGTGGTTTAATTTCTGATAGACTATCGGTACGGTACTGTGTACAGATCGTTTCATCCACGAAGACGCGCCCCACCATTCTTCCGCTAATGTTTGAGTGTTATCGGTACACGCTAAATCATCCATGAGTGCACACGCACACTACAATAATGCCGCTCGGATTGCTTGGATCAAACTCCCCGCACCCCGCGCGACCGAGACCAAAACTTGGTGGGGCGCGTCCGAGTGGATGAAACGATCTATACTACCCGCTACAAGTAGGGAAGTTTTGCGACTTACTTGGCCAACGTTGCTCGACGCTTGCTTGCAAAGTCCTGGGTTTCGAGATTGCCCGGCGCTTACTTCTAATCGTTAAGTAGGTCTTGCTGCACTCACAACACAATTCACAGCATATTCTTGAACACAGCGGGTATTTACACTGTTATTGCGGTTTTTAACTCGCACGCGCGCGCCATTTTGAGATTGACTGGACGTCTACCCGCGTGTTGTAGAGTCGAGTAGGAAGTACCCGCGTTTTTAGTACTTCCGAAACAGCGCCCTCTCGTGGCGTGTTTACACGTACTCATTTTTGAGGGCAAGAGTTTGGAATAGGGGAATAAGGATTTTGAAACTTCAAGTGGCAAAAATCAAAAACTAACGACCCGTATTGACAGTAACGCCCCCCTGTAAAATTTCATAACTATGTTATGGTTGTCCAACGTGGCAAAAATCGGAACTATTAATCCATTATTGAAGTAGCGGTTTCCTGACAATGTCATAGCTAGGACGGTTCAGTGTTGGATAACTGCTATAAAGTCCGGTCGCCGAGCAGATCAGATAGAATTTCATCTAATGACCCTGAGATACCAATCCTTATCGCTCGCGCGTAAAATTGCTGTCGCGACTGTGCGACGAGCGGCCGCAGTGTGTGCGAGCGCGACAGCAATATAATTACGCGCGAGCGATAAAGATGCTATGGGTAGCTTGGGATCATTGGACGAAATTCTATCTGCTCGGCGACCGGACTTTACAACACAGTGAATTTAAATAAAAGAATTAAATATTTTTTAATCATTTATTACATAACACTACATCTATAGCAACGTGTCACTATCCGCCCCCTACGACCGTACCATCCCTAATTATTTATAAATAATTTAAACCATCGTATTGTTGCCTATTTTACAAAAATAAATAGGCTACCCCGCTTTCTGAATTTTCCATTGAATTATTCAAGTTTCTCTAATTATAATAACGGATAAACATATTTAAATGCATAATAATATAATATAGGTTGTCCTACTAAATAAAATAACATCCCCAACCCGTCTGGCCAGCGTGGGGAGTGTAGGACAAATCCTCTTGCCTCTGGTCAATTAGAGAGGGCGGTACTCCTGCAGTGGAGACTAAATTATCTGATGATGATGATAAAATATATTGCTGTATTGCAATTCGATTGAATTTTCAGAAAACGGGGTATTACTCACTAAACATAACATGCATTGAACTAAAATTGGCAAAACCGTATAACTAATTACATCGAAAACGAAACTGAAAAAGCACCACTTTCATTCAAAATGTACCAAATTATTTTTGTTTGTGTAAACTTTTGTTATATTTCGACACAGCAAGTTATACAACTAAGTTTTGCCGAAAAATCGATTGCACTCATCGAATTTCATTCGATTTTGTGTTCATATAATGCCGATTTTTATCGATAGCATTTTGGTTTTCATGATTAAACAGTGTGTGTGTTTAAAGAGTGTTTTGATGTTGATTAAAGAAGGAAAGAGAGAAAAATGTTTATTCGGTTAGAACTTTAAAATATTAAGTGAAAAAAAAACTGATTATTTTGTGAAGACAACTGAAAAAAACTTTGCGATTAAAACACCCTGTATAACATGAAAACAATGCCAACGACATAATTAAAATAAAAACGTAATCACAAACAGATAACAAATCAACAAACAAACATAATAAAGGAATATAACTAAGTATAGGAATGTAAATAATTGTGCTAACATAGGAATAGTTTGAAGACAGCTATAGGTTTCGTGAAAAATACAAACGTACACCATAGTGAAATATATTAAGGTACGCTTACCTCAGTCAGTGCTTGAGGTATGGGTGGGGGTGACATTGACATATTAAGACGTGACGGAGCATACAAAGGCAATGCCAGATTTTGTATGGAAGGTGGCGTCTTTTTTTTTTCGCGCGGCCATCGACCAAACTTTGTTTTTTGATTACAAAATAGTGAAATAAACCAAACTTACTATGACATGTATACCTCTAAACTCAGTCTGAACTGAGTTACGAGCGTTAGAAGTTTGATGATTTACATACTAGATTTGCTTTTTGCGCGCAAGTTTTGTAAGAAATTACAACAAGATATTGCGCTATTTTTTTATTGCGCTGATTCTGCTCCACACTGATGTCTGGAGCCTTTAATGGATGGTATTGTTTGTTTACACATACAATGTCAATATTTTGTTGCAATTTCTCAAAACTCCCATACCTCAGGCACTAACTAAGTTAAGTGCTGCACCTAGAATATGTATTTTGAAACAATTTGTGATTTTTTCATACAAAAGCACCTAAAAGATTTCAAAAACTGACATAATTACGCGTAAAAATATAAAAAACACATTACCCTCTTCTACGCTGTCGGGTATATTATAAACAATCGTTTACTATGGCTAATAGAAGATTGTGATAAAACTATGGCATAAGACCCGAATGTTTGTTTAAAAATAATTATAAATAAATTGAATATGAAGATTTAATTTTATTTCATTCAAAATCAATTTCAAAGAAACCCTTGGAATGTTTGAAGGCCATTCATTAAAAATTGTCATGTTTTGCAATTTATCATTAATTATTGAATTTATTTCATACCTGCAAGTATTTATTTATAGCAGTTAATAATTAAACTCATGTTTGATTTCTACCAAATAACCATTCATACATTCATTTATCAATATAATGAATTATAATTTGTTCGCAAATATAAAATAAATAAATCTGTAAGAACTAATCTACTTATACTATACAACGACTTATTTTAGTAGAGAATATATCACACTGTTTATTTTTATCATTAAGATGTCTAAATAATAATTACAATCTTTAATGATACTAATAATTGGCGTTGCAAATAACGTATTCTCTAGAAAAATAAAGTATAGCTTACCTGTGTTTTATTAATTGGTAAATTATGTTATAAAAACATAAAATCAACTAATTATTAAAACCCACAAAATCAGCAACGGAAATAAATGTAAGACGTTTTTTAATTTGAAAAAAATATTGCATATAAGCGTTTCTATAAGCAATTCATTATTTCTAATACATTATTATATGTATATTACGTATATTATTGAAACATGCCTCTCCTATCTATAGCGATATGAAATATATCAGCCATTTAACGTTTACAACACTATTTATGAAAATAAAATCACTATCATTACAAATTGTATTAATGATAAAACTGTATCATTATTTAAAATAATGTGTTTCATATTATAATGCAAATATTGTGGGTATTATTTGGGAAATAAGCTTTACTGGTCCAAGTCTAATGATGACAAATTTCTTATGAACTCGGCGCGTTGGGAAGGTGTTAGTTCCTGAAAAAATATAAATTTTAATTATAATAATATTTCTCGAAAGATTCAAGGTCATATTTTTAAAAATAACTTGCACAAGTTGTAAGTTATATTTTTTCTAAATCTACTAAATTTTGAAGTTAAAAATTAATAATTATAGTACCAGTTTTATACTACCAGTATTATGAACAAAAAAACTTGTTTATAAATAACAGTTTTAAATATTAGTTTCTGTTTACTGGAATTTATACTGACTGATCGTTTTTCATCACAGCTAGTGGCACGGAATCATTAACGATGAAATCTCTCATTATTATTGTTTTCCATTTAGGACGTGAACCCAATATCTCTACTAGACCAACAATAAACAGTTACGTCATCATCATCATTATCATCGTTTCAGCCATAGGACGTCCACTGCTGTACATAGGCCTCCCCCAATGATTTCCACATATCCCGGTTGGTAGCGGCCTGCATCCAGTGACCGACGATCTCAGACAGTTATGTAACTGCTTGTTAAAATAGTAAAAGTACAGTGGGCTCCAGTTCCAGCTACCTATTTTGTTTTTTTCTCTCGCTCTCATCAAATGGCGATTCTTTAGGATAAAACAAGACGACAATATAACCAGAAATGGGCTGTAACTATGGCCCATAGCACAGGTCGTTTCATCCACTCGGACGCGCCCCAGCAATGTTTTCGGTCGCGCGGGGTGCGGGGAGTGTGGTCCGAGCAATCTGTAAGGCATTACTGTAGTGTGCGTGTGCACTCATTGATCATTTAGCGTGTACCGATAACACTCAAACATTAGCGGAACGGAAGTATGGTGGGGCGCGTCTTCGAGGACAAAACAATCTATGTGTGTAAATAAAATAAAAATGTATTTATTTACTTACCAATACAAGCGAGTTGACGGTCTGCAGTACAGAGTCTTGCTTAATGGCTCGCAGGTTTCTCTCCAGCACTGAATTGTCATCGGCAGCCTGGGCTTCTAACCACTTGCATACAGCCTCGTTGTCGTGTTCCCACTGGTGGGACTGTGGGCAAAAGGCGTGTTTAAACAACCACCGTGAAATTACGTCATTGGTCATCATCATTTTAGCCACAGGACGAACATAGGCATCCCCCAATGATTTTCTTATTGGCCGGTTGGTAGCGGCCTGCATCCAGCGCCTTCCTGCTACCTTTATGATGGAAAGGGCTATTCTAGGTGTTTCTTTAAGTGATCGAATCAAAAATGAAGAGGACCAGGGTCCATAGAAGGGGGCCAGTGGGTCCTTAGTGGGGAACAGGGATCCATAGTAGGGGGCCAGGAGGTCCAAAGTAGGAACCAGTTGGACCATTCGCATATACATACCTGGGTTTCTCCTTTATCTTCCGCGCACCACCTTCTAAGCGTAGCAGCGGCGGCCCCCTGGTCCAAAGTGGATCCCATCGCAGCTTGGACCCTTAGTAGGGGGCCAGGGGGTCCATAGTTGGGGGCCAGGGGTCCAAAGTAGGGGGCCAGGGGTCCAAACTATACCTGAGTTTCTCCTTTGTCCTCCGCGCACCACCTTCTAAGCGTAGCAGCGGCGGCCCCCTGATCCATATTAGAAGGCCAAGGGCTCATATTAGGGGACCAGGGTCCATAGTAGGGGTCCAGGGGTCCAAAGTAGGGAGCCAATGGGTCCAAAGTAGGGGGCCAATGGGTCCTTAGTAGGGAACAAGGGATTCATAATAGGGGTCCATAGTCCATAGGGGGCCAAGGTGTCCAAAGTAGGGGGCCAAGGGTCCAAAACATACCTGGGTTTCTCCTTTGTCCTCCGCGCACCACCTTCTAAGCGTAGCGGCGGCGGCCCCCTGGTCCATAGTGGGTCCCATGGCCGCTTGGACCCTTCGTTCCTGCTCGTTCTGTCGGAGGAGGCGCTTGAGACGCCAGTACAGCAGCCGGCGGGAGTCGCGCCATGGGATTATGTCCTGTGGGGTAAAGGGGTAAGGGTGAGTTTTGTATATTAGAAAATATCTTTTGTAGCCTACTAGTCTATCTGTTGACAGCAAGTAAGGTTGAAAATGGAAGCAATAAACTATTGAGAATTGAGAAAATTACATATTTTTAACGTGTAACGTATTAGGAACCAGATTAATTTACTTGAAAATCAGGAATTAGATCCACTGGGGTTATATTAGACCCCACTGGTGGGGTGAAAAACTCACAAATACCGACAGTGGGGTACATCAAATCCCATCACTCATAAATAAGCAACCTTTCTTGCAAAATTGCAAATTTTAATTTAGATTGAAACTACGCTTGTTATTACAAGCGTAAACACGTAAACTGGGATTGAATTAGACCCCATCCTAAAACTGACAAATTATATCAGTACTGGGGTAACTCATAACCCCTCTGGCGGGGTATAACACTCACAAATACATATCTACTTTTCGGGCTTATTAGACCCCACTGTTGGGGTGGAAACACAAATAGACACGGGTCAATTAGACATCATGACAAAGCACTAATTAAAACTGGGGTCAATCAGATACCGCTACAGGAGAGTAACATTTTGGTGTGTTTCTGGTAAGGTGAGTATAGACTAGAGCATTTTCTCAAGCATTCGTATGTAATGTAATATGCTTACGAATGGTACAATACAGGGAAAATCTACGATGTTTGGTTCTTGAAAGGGTGATACACTAGAACGCATCGTTGTTCTATTACAAGTAAATGCTCAGTGTTTTTCAACCTGTGGGTCGCGAAGCCTCTCTATAGAGGCTCTCCGGCTCCCCATGGGGGTCGCGAGAGGTCGTAAAAACTACGTCAGTAAAAAAACATTAGTTATAAAGACAGGATTATCCGAAATCGAATTATGCAAATTCATTAAAATGTTGTATGGATTGAAGTATTCGGTCCCTACAACATCATTGTAACATTATAAAATGCATGAAAAAAAAGCGGACGGTCGAGGGGTCGACAAATATTTTTTCATACTAGGGGGGTCGTGTCATGAAAAAGGTTGAAAAACACTGCCTAGTCTATACTACTCATCTTTATGCAAATAGATGTTTTATATCAATCTATCAAATACTACTCTGGGGTCTATCAGACCCCGACACTCACAAATATGCATCCTTTCTCCAGCATCCTTTCAGCCGTGTCGTGTAGTTCCGCGAATTGCACCGCGACCTCGTGGTAGATCGGGCTGAGCTCCTTCTCACGGGCTTTTACTGCCTTCTCGGCGGCGAGGAGTTCTGTTTCTAGCTCGCGCACTTTGGATTCCGCTGTGGGGAAATATAGAAATATTATTACTAGCGGACCCGACAGACTTCGCTCTGTCAAATTGGCTCTACGTTTTAGCAGGCCTGTTCACCTCCGCGAGTTTACATCGAAAACAAAACAAGCACGATGACACCCTACAGGATTACTATTCGACAAGGCCTCACATACGAGCGAGCATTGACTCACGCACGCGTATTCTTGTGTATGATGGAAAAAAATAAAAACCCAGAATGTAGGTACTTTTTTAAGTTGCCTGAAGACACTGAGAGGTAAATAAGTGGTTAATATTATTCATGATAACATGCTTATTCATGTATTTCCTCCGCCATTTTCTGCAGTTTGGCACCACACGTCACATCATTTTACCGAAGTCAGCCCTATAGCTTCGGCGCAGTACCGATCACTGACGTTTGTCAACAAAATGGTGCTTGACTCTTAAGACAAGCTAAATTACACCATATTGTTAATGACATTGAGCATACATTTTTTTAAATACCTTCGCGAAGTAAAACTTTTGTACGTAGTACTTATTATTATTCTGTGCGCATACTAAGTCAGAGCCTGAGGTGTGGGAGCGGCACGGGAGGGGTATATGATTTGTATGCTCTATTCAAATCTGAAGCACATCTAAAGTTAAAGGTTAGTGTCCGTGACTCCCACTCGGCATGGGGCACACTGAAAACCAGCGTCGTGGCCTCCCTCACCGGGGGCCACGGCATATGCTGAGTGGGGTCCCATTGCGATGGGCATCGCTGTGCGCCAAGGTGGCACTGCTTAGTTTACTTGCTCATTCATTGTATGTTTTATGTCACCTCTGTCTTATTTGCTTTTTTTTAAATTTACCTCTTTTGTCTTTTGTGATGTCCATGGCAATAAATGTTTCTTTCTTTCTTTCTTTCTAAAGGTTTGCTGACGTTTGACGTCACAACAATACCCGTGCAGCTCTTATATCTCAGGCACTAACTCAGGCGCTATACAGGGTGGAATTTTGTAATGCTACCTGGAGGGAAAGTACTCTTAATACTGCAGATAGAAAATTTTACTGAAAGAAAACATTCCTTTATTTTTGAAAAGAAAAAGAACTGCATTCAATTTTCCCTTCAGGTGGCATTACAAAATTCCACCCTGTATATAGGCGGCCATAGGTTGGCGTGCGTGCTTCTATTCTAATCTGTAAAAACACGCCCACTTTTCTCGTGGACTAAGGGACAAATATGCGAGCATCAGGCCTCCCCAACCCGTCTGGCCAGCGTGGGGAGTGTAGGACAAATCCTCCATTTGCCTCTGGTCAATTAGAGGGTCGCGCTCCTGCAGTGGAGACTAAATGACCGGATGTTGCGGGTCCAATGACAGTTTAACTTTCCCCCGGGACACACTTGACCTTCACTGGTTGGGTTATTGGCGGTCAAGCTGTAGATCCTGGCTACACAGGGGTTGCAGCGGTGGGAACGAGAGGTGGGAATAGTCCCATACGTACCTTGTTTACCGACGTCGGTCTTGATCAACACATCGTCGATGGAGCCGCGTCGGTCGAGATTCTTCGATATTTCCTTGATTTGTTCTTTTAATTCTGGAAATAAACAACATTTTTTAATTCATACATTTGCCTAACTAAAGTTAACATTTACTTATTAATTTAGTACATACATCGTGTCCCAAAATTTAACGATAAGACGATGTCATAGGGTGGACAAGTCATGACTACTTAATAGTAATTGCCTTGTCTACCATTTATAGGCGCCATCGCCTGCTTATCGTTGAATAAAGTCCGGTCGCCGAGCACATAAAATTTCGTCCAATGACCCCAAGCTTATCGCTCGCGCGTAATTGCTGTCGCGCTCGCACACTCACTGCGGCCGCCCGTCGCACAGTCGCGACAGCAATACAATAGGCTAGTTGCCTAAAAAAATTTTTTTAGTCCGTAATGTTTAATATCAAAAAATATTGGACACATATATTTTTATTTGTCAATCTAACAAATAATTACATAGTTATGGTGCGTTGAAGTTGCGCACGACGTCACAACGTGCGGCATTTTTAAGCAAGCGTTGACGTCACGGGCCTCTTCTTATGAACTTTGGGGCGCTTTATCTCTTTAAATTTTCATTAGTTTGAAAAAGTGAAAAATACGTGTAGAGTATTTTTTGATAAGTTAACTGACGGACTTATTAAAACTCTTGCTTTTTGACCCAGGCAACATCCCCATTACGCGCAAGCGATAAGGATGGGTAGCTTGGGGTCATTGGACGAAATTCTATCTGCTCGGCGAACGGACTTTAGTAGTGTCTTAAATCTTCTAGAGGTTTGTCCAGTTCTTTAGACAAATACAATGTTTCAGATGTTTCAAAATTGACCCGTATGCATAGAAGAATGCCCGTAGCGTAAGAAACGCCGTAGATAATGTGTATTTAGAGTGTTGCGTGGGACGTCCACCCACAAGGTGGACCGACGTCATCGTAAAGGTAGCAGGAAAGCGCTGGACGCAGGCCGCTACCAACCGGGCAACATGGAAAGCATTGGGGGAGGCCTATGTTCAGCAGTGGACGTCCTATGGCTGAGATGATGATGATGATGATGAGAGTGTTGCTTACCCGCGATCCTAGCGCTCTGACGCAACAGTTCGGGGTCCATCCTGTGCATTGTCTTGAGGATGTCGCGCTGTTTGAACTTCACTTCTACTATACCCTCGGCTTCCAGCACTCCGCCCCTGGTGGGAAATAGTAATTCATGCTTAACAATATTGTTTTCTCTAGATTCTCAACCTAATAATTTGTTATACTAAACTTGCGAACAAAACCTAAAAATAACAGCGATACTACAAGAAACTGTATTGATCTTGGCTATAGAAAAATATAATTTTAATATTGTTTTAATTTTTTGCTAGTTATACAACAAATACAGGGTGTCATACATAGAGGACATCATACAAATACATAGAGGGAGAGTCTCTCCCTCTATGTATCAATCTCTCTCACTCACCTGGCCTCGGGGTCGGCATAGTACAGTCGCGGAATGAAAAGGTTCGTCACCTTAGTGTCGGTTTTCGCTTGCACTAGGTACTGTAAGTCAAACCTGCCAACATAACCGTGCAAGAAACAGTGCTGCTAACATTTAAATAAATATGACGTTTGCTAACGAATAAGGTTTTGCTTGTTTAATTTTCTATCCCATCAGTGCAATGTTACAAAATGTATTTTTTTTTATTTAATAGATAATGGCAGGTTGAACCAACAAGAAGGTTTTAGTTTATCAATCATAATACATAATCTTCTTGACAAGTTAAATCGTCAAACAACTTTGATCTGAATAATTTTGAACTTTACTGGCGAACAGTTAAAGATTATTTTCTCTAACTCGAGATTATTCTGTAACATAGTTTCATTCAAAAGGTAATATGTGCTCGCGATTCGTTGAAGGAATCAATTTGAAAACTGACGAACCTTTTCATTCCGTGACTGTACAAACCGATCGAGCTAACTCGTCACCTTCCCGTGTTCACCCCATCCATACCAGAGGCTCGATGTGACGTCACGGCTGCACTACATGCAACTCGACCGGGTTGTATGAAGCGCGTGTTTGTAAATGAGTCTCTCCTATAGCTGTGTATCTATCTCCCTCACTCCTCTCTCCCTCTATCTATCTCCCTCGCTCACCTGGCTTCTGGATCCGCATACAACTCCATGCGTAGCGAGTTGACGCACTCAGCTCACATTAGTAGCTTGTGTTTCTCTCTCTCCCTCTATGTATCTCTCTCCCTCACTCACCTGGCCGCATCAGCATACATCTCCATTAGTAGCTTGTCTCTCTCTCTCTCTCCCTATGTATCTATCTCCCTCGCTCACCTGGCCTCGGGGTCCATCCAGCATCCAGCGCCTACCTGCTACCTTTATGAGGTCATCGCTCCACCATGTGGGTGGACGTTCTACGCCGTGTTTCTCTCTCTCTTTCCCTCTATCTATCTACCTCGCTCACCTGGCCTCTGGATCTGCATACATCTCCATCCTTAGCGAGTTGACGCTCTCTTCTCCCACTGTATATCTATCTCCCTTTCTCTCTCTCTCCCTTTATCTATCTCCCTCGCTCACCTGGCCTCTGGATCTGCATACATCTCCATCCTTAGCGAGTTGACGCTCTCTTCTCCCACTGTATATCTATCTCCCTTTCTCTCTCTCTCCCTTTATCTATCTCCCTCGCTCACCTGGCCTCTGGATCTGCATACATCTCCATCCTTAGCGAGTTGACGCTCTCTTCTCCCACTGTATATCTATCTCCCTTTCTCTCTCTCTCCCTTTATCTATCTCCCTCGCTCACCTGGCCTCTGGATCTGCATACATCTCCATCCTTAGCGAGTTGACGCTCTCTTCTCCCACTGTATATCTATCTCCCTTTCTCTCTCTCTCCCTTTATCTATCTCCCTCGCTCACCTGGCCTCTGGATCTGCATACATCTCCATCCTTAGCGAGTTGACGCTCTCTTCTCCCACTGTATATCTATCTCCCTTTCTCTCTCTCTCCCTTTATCTATCTCCCTCGCTCACCTGGCCTCTGGATCTGCATACATCTCCATCCTTAGCGAGTTGACGCTCTCTTCTCCCACTGTATATCTATCTCCCTTTCTCTCTCTCTCCCTTTATCTATCTCCCTCGCTCACCTGGCCTCTGGATCTGCATACATCTCCATCCTTAGCGAGTTGACGCTCTCTTCTCCCACTGTATATCTATCTCCCTTTCTCTCTCTCTCCCTTTATCTATCTCCCTCGCTCACCTGGCCTCTGGATCTGCATACATCTCCATCCTTAGCGAGTTGACGCTCTCTTCTCCCACTGTATATCTATCTCCCTTTCTCTCTCTCTCCCTTTATCTATCTCCCTCGCTCACCTGGCCTCTGGATCTGCATACATCTCCATCCTTAGCGAGTTGACGCTCTCTTCTCCCACTGTATATCTATCTCCCTTTCTCTCTCTCTCCCTATATCTATCTCCCTCGCTCACCTGGCTTCTGGATCCGCATACATCTCCATCCTGAGCGAGTTGACGCTGGGGTCGACGACCGCCCACGCGCCGCCCCTTAGTTCGGCCCCGGGGGGGATATAGACTATGACGGGTGCTGTGGCCCCCCTTAAGGCTCGCACGATCTCCGCACCGAACTTCAGGATTTGTTCGTACATGTCTGTGAAAGAATTTTAATTGAAAATGGTGGCAAAAATAACCCAACAATATCTAAATAGGGATGTTTCCTGGGTCAATAGCAAGAGTTTTAATTAGTCCGTCAGTTAACTTATCAAAAAATACTCTACACGTATTTTTCACTTTTTCAAACTAATGAAAATTTAAAGAGACAAAACGCGCCAAAGTTCATAAGAAGAGGCCCGTGACGTCAATGCGTGCATAAAAGTGCCGCACGTTGTGACGTCGTGCGGAACTTCACGGCACCATAACTATGTAATTATTTGTTAGATTGACAAATAAAAATATATGTGTCCAATATTTTTTGATATTAAACATGACGGACTAAAAAATTTTTTTTAGGAAACTAGCCTATTGGGTACCGTATGCGATTATCACACTGCACCGCGCTCCGTCGCGGTCCGCGTGGCGACATATAAAAAATCCCGCGCGCAAACGCGTTGTCAGTGTGTTGTGCCGCGCGTGTTTTCTATACAAACTGAGGTACTTGCATATAATTATTAAATCTGTCGTCCCGCGTACCGCGGCGGAGCGCGGTGCAGTGTGATAATCGCATTGGTATCGGACTGCGCCGTTTCGAGGACTGGCAGTTCGATTTTGAATATTAAGACTTTCAGGGTTACTCCGAAACTTTAATAACGTAGTTACGAGTCTGACACTGTCACACATGTTGACATCTAGCTTTGCGTGAGAGGGATAACAATAGTTTACACGTAGAATTTATTAATTTGAAGACCATCGATTAATTGGATAAAAAATTGTTTAGTATACAGAAAAATTCTATTGTTTTGGTAGAAATAAAAAAAAAAATTATAATTTGTACAATATAAGTTTGTTTAATAAAATAACTATTGATTTAAAATTATAAACTTAATTATTTGTTAATTTTGTGTCAAAAACTTTTCTATTCTATTCCAAACTTCCTTTATAAGTAGCAGTTATAATCTGCAGTTTCAAAGGTAAAAAGAAAAAAAAAATCGATAACACTAAATAATGAAATAATAAGCTTTTTAAGGCATTAACTTACCCTTCTGACCACCGCTGAACCCGCGCCAGTTGGCGAAGATGATGATGGGCAGGTTCTCGCGGGAGAAGTCATTGATGGCCTCGGATGTCTTGTAGGCGGAGTCGGGGAACCACACCTGTGTAGAAACATTGGTATAGCAATCAAAATTGACAGTTATTAAACATTTAGTTAGGGATACACTCTTAAGGTTCAGCCAAACCTATTGCATTGATTGCCATCGCTGCACGCCGGCTGATCGCGAGTGATTGCGTTGGTTTGACTGAACCTAATGCTAAAAAAATATTAAAATTGGTACAGATTAAACACCAAAATATCTGACCTTCTCAATACTCAATACTCAATAGTTTATTGCTTCCATAATGTTTACAAAAGGTGTTATTGGTAAGGTAAGATACAATTATGGACCCTGTCGGGCACTGCATTTTAGGAGAGAGGAAGTAGTAATTATCAAATTTATTTTTAATCTGTTTTATTATTATTATACTTATTTAATATTTATTATTCATTATACTTCTATATTAATAATTTCGTCAAGGGGTACGGTAGACTGGATCGAAACCTTATATGAATAACAAAGCATAAAAAAATATCGATTTTGAGTCGACAACATATATCCGCAAAATTCGGATAATGGAGAATTTCGTTAAATTCCGATGGCACTGACANCCAAGTCCAGTAGGCCTAAGATGATAACGCGCCGTGATAACTTTTATCGACGTTAATTTGTATGGGCAAAATCGATAAAATGGCGTGATAACCGCTTATCGTGGCGCGCATCTTAGGCCTACAGGCCAGGAAATCTTTAACGTTTTACATAAATATATTGACTTGGCCATCGCATGAAAACACGTGTAAATTAAATTATTTAGTGCGATGGCCAAGTCAATAATTTATGTAAAACGTTAAAGATTTCCTGGCCTGGACTTGGTATTACATGGATCTCACAACTTTTTACCGTAGAACAACTGAGTTGCGAGATGGTTTTTTTGACAAGTATTGTTTTTGATGGGATAACTGTTTACTGTTTAGATCAGGGTTTCCCAAACTATGGGTATACGACCCAGTGGTGGGTCGCAAGCGAACATTGAGTGAGCCCTGCCTGTAGAACGACACACCACCCTACAGATCCGAGTCATTTATTAAGAGTAGGCGCACACCGTTGATTTTTAGTTGGCCGATAGTTGTGCCCGATTTTAAATTGTATGAAGAATCGGCCAAATCGAACCGGCGTAGTGTGCGCACTCCCATACATGCCCATACTGATCAACTGCCCGACTAAACTATCGGCCGACGAAAAATCAACGGTGTGCGCCTACTCTTAGGCATATTGGTAACGGTTAAATTTCTTATAGGTAGGTTCGAGTTTGGGAACTTGTATTAGATGAGTCGTAGCCCAGGCAACTTTGGGAATCACTGGTTTAGATGATTGGTGTTGATACTAAAAACACAGATTTTTAAAAACAAGAACCTCAACACCTTTACCGAAGCACTGCACTGCACAGCATTGCACTGAATCTGAGACATGACTCCTTTATTCCACAACGGGACAATTAATGTCCACAACGTTGCCAAATACCTCGGGACCTATTTTTGTCAATTTTTCGTTGCCAAAACCCGCCTGTGATGTCAGATACACAGTAGCGGCGTAAGGGGGGGGCGGTGGGGGCGGTCCGCCCCGGGTGCCAAGCATCAGGGGGTGACACAAGTCGCGCAGAATAGTACTCACTGGCACATCTGCATGGCAAATCTGCGGTCTATGTCATGATACAGNGTCGCGCAGAATAGTACTCACTGGCACATCTGCATGGCAAATCTGCGGTCTATGTCATGATACAGGGGGGGGGAGAGGGCGATTGTCTTTCAATCTTCGAATCAGTTGGTAACCCCAAAATCCAGGGGGGTACCAGGGGGTGCCTTAGGACTTATGACGGGGGGGTGATCGCCCCGGGTGCCAACCCATGCTACGCCGCCACGACCATCGACTAGCTTCAATTTCCACATACAAAATTGAATTGAATTAAATTATAATACTTACCTACTTTATTACAGATACCAACGCGTCAATGTGACCGAAGTGATAGGGCCTATAATCGACAGCAGCGCTGCTCGCTTGGAGATAATCCACTCGTATCCACCACCGAAAAGCAGGAAGAACGTCCAGGACATCCTCTCGGATGAGACAGGGAAGGAATTCACGGTGTTCCAGACCAAACCCGAGGCAGTCATCAAAACGATAGCTGCTGGTAAGACGCCATAGCACAAACTTCAGCCAAACCAACGCGTGCATAGTCGCCATCGCCGTCGCCATCGCCGACCTGCACTTGGTGAAGCGATGGCTTCAGCCAAACGTGGTTTGGCTGAAGCGATGCCATTGTGGATTAGAATTTAGATTCATTTAGCACTGTTCTACTAAAAAATACAGTGTGGCCCTGCGAAACCCCGAGTGTGTGTGAAACTACATCATAAATAATTGTGACCTGATATCCACTATCATGTGAGTTATTTGTTACTATCTGTGCCACAGAATAATAATGCTGTGCCCCGCGGTGTTACCCGCGGTAAAACGTAACCTATGTGTTAATCCAGGGTGTTTTTTGTACATGGAGTCCATAGAAAGTTATCAGTTCATAATTTTCACATTTTCAAGGTGAAAGTGAAAAGGCACTCAAGAGCTAACAGGGCAAGATAATGTACCATCCTAGACTGCATCTCACTTCACACCAGGTGCGATTGCAGTCAAATACCTACCTGCCTTTCAGCCCCTTCCGGGGTGGCACTTTGAAAAACGAGCAAACAAGTAGAACCATTGAAAAATAGTTTCATCATCATCACACACACCTGCAAGATGCATTTTGCTGTGGTTGCGGGTTCGAATCCCACTTGATGCAAGTCGCAAATGATCAAGCATTTAAATTGGCTCGTCAGCACCCTACGAATATCAAAGTATTATGTCTGGGACATCTACCGAATCTTACAAAAACAAAATTACTTGAATGTGTAGTGACACTACAGGTTCATGTTACCTTATAACTCTGTGCCAGAGTACAATTCAGTTCAACGGTTCCCTAACAGATGGCGCTTTCTAGCATTTCGGAAAAAAGGCAGGGGTTCTAGAATATTCCTTGACCTGTATCTATATTAATAATTTCGTCAAGGGGTACGGTAGACTGGATCGAAACCTTATATGAATAACAAAGCATAAAAAAATATCGATTTTGAGTCGACAACATATATCCGCAAAATTCGGATAATAGAGAATTTCGTTAAATTCCGATGGCACTGACAAACAATTTCAAACAAACCGCTGTCGCCATCTTTAGTGGTTCACTATCCACTCACTACTCACTATGCGATCAGCGCCAAAACCTTACTACCTCTTTGCTGGGTTGTCATCGATCCATAAATAAATGCGTTTCGCGATTTTTATGATATAGTTCCAAAATACTGGACTGTCCTGTCGATGACATTGACAGTGGGGCGCCACCGTCAATACCGGATCGCTGGTTCAGATATTTGCCATGTTGGAAACCATACAGATGAACGATGGTAGCGCCCCCCTGTCATTGAGTTTGGTGGGACAGTTCAGCGTGGGTCATCTATACACTCTTTGTTATGTGTTTTTTCTTTTAACCTTCCCCCTTAGACAAAACGCACTTTTTGATCGAATCGAAAATCGAATCCGTCAAAACTCCATACAAAAAAGGGGCTTTTCGACCACTTTTCGACTGGTTTGCGATTATAATTTGCACTTTGTCTAGACCCACTAATATTGGCCGATTCAACCACAGAAAAAGAATATTAGCCATAACCATAAAAGTTGAAGTTCAAATGTCAATGTCATTTAGTTTCGCACAGTGACATGCAATTTTTGTAATGGCAAAATATTTGTAAGAAACTGCAAACAAATTCAAATGTGCAGTCGATGTGTGGAATGCGACAACATTATACTCGGTAAGCGGCTTATTTTTTTTTTATTTAACCCGACAAATAATAATAAATGACCACATGCATAGCCTGTGTTAATTTGAATATTTGTCTAAAAATAAAATATATTTCTCTTATTAAACTCAGCTCAGATGGTAAGAGCGCGACAACGGAGAAGTCGAGGATGTAGGTTCAATTCCTGCATGTGGTGTATTTTTTCATCACATCTTATTAAATTTGTTTAATAAGAGTAACACAATATAGCATTAAAACTTTAAATTAAATCTTTAAATTAAAGCTTTAAATTAGCTATTCCTAAATATATTTCTCTTTTTAGGTTGATAACGAAGGGTTGACGCTAATCGAGGATTCATTGATGATTGATAATGCTTCTTCGGACAACAAGAAAAAACAGCAACTGTCAGTCAGCAGTGATGATGCTTCTTCGAACAACAAGGAAAAACAGCTGCTGTCAGTCAGCAGTGATTTTATTTCTTTAGAAGAAGAAGAGAAAGAAAACATATCAAATGGCGGGCAAACCCCCAAAAAAACATAAATATTCAAGCAGGCTTAGAACAGAATATCAGCCCCCCAGGACTAACTATTTATATTTAGCACTTTCAAATAACACCATTCAAGTATCAGTACATTCAGTTGGTTCTATGATTTATGAATGTGTTCAATGTCAAGCACTTCATTTTTTAAGTGAAAAAATTAAAAATCATTTTAAAAATTGTTGTCATAATGGGAAGGTATACATAGATCCAGAATTATTATTAGATAATACAAAGGCAATACGTCTGATGCTAATCATTTTAAGGTTAATATACGACTATATAATTCAGCATTTGCAATGGCATCCATTAATTCAAACTTGAACACATTCCCTCCAGGATTTTTCACTTATAGGGTACAAGGACAAATTTATATAAAAACTGGATCTATGGTTCCGTTGCAAGGTCATAAACCACAATACAACCAATTGTATATAATTGCCTTAAATGAAAGATTATCTGATTCTAGAAATAACATATGTAAAAGCAATATAATGAGGTCCTTACAAACAATGCTCAATGAATTCAATCCTTTTGTCAAAGTATACAAAAAGGTGGCTGCAATTTTAGCAGAAGAGGAATTAAAAGCAGCCTCAGAAAATCGACCCAAATATTCGGTATCAATGCAGATTTATAAACATAAATCTCTGGATTTGCGTCGGTATAACACACCATCAAATAATGAGGTAGCGGCCATCTTTGTAGGAGAAAACGGTGAACCTCCATTAAATATAGACTTCTCTGTACAAGAATATTCTCAACATTTAACTACACTCAAATCAACCAATCCCAATATTAACCCTTTCACCTTTCCTCTACTTTTTCCTTATGGAGAACTCGGATGGCATGAAAATCTTCAACACAGAGAAGAGAGTCGAACTGCTCGAAGCCGTCTTACAATGTTACAATTTTATCAGTACCTATAGACTTCCTGTTCGTTAAAAATTTTAGCCCATTATTTTACGCTGAAAAACGTGATTTTCATATAAAAATCACGCGTGCGGACGCGTTGTCAGTGTGAAGTGCCGCGCGTGTTTTCTATACAAACTGAGGTACTTGCATACAATGATGAAATCTGTCGCCCTGCGCTCCGCGGCGGAGCGCGGCGCAGTGTGATAACCGCCTTAATAAGAGTTATTTACATAACCTATATTAACGATTGAATTTGATTGTTTTGTTAATTTGTCTTAGTTTATTTTGAATGGTGATTTAAAATAAAAATAATTTGTGTAAAAACTTTTGCAGTTTTTATTTACCATATTTATTAAACACAACTAACGAAGCTATATGAATCTAGGTATATTTAATATTCTTTGAGAACCGATGACTACAGAAACATCTATCTACATTTTGCACCTAGAATTGTGTATTATGAGTCAAATTTCACCCGAGCGAAGCCGGGTTTTCATCTAGTATTTTTATATTTTACAGGTGTATTCGATCTGGAAAAACGCACGTGGAGCATCTATATTGACAAACCAAACGAGTCAGAGCCTGTTGCGGTTCTACCAATTTCTTTTACCATGTTAGATAATTCTTACTAAGCCTTAGTTTGTAGACGCAAATATAGTTTGAAAATAACGCTACCTATTTAATTTTAATTGAGTGTGTATTTGACTTTGTCCAATTTAATGTGTCAATATTACAAATTAGGTTAAATGTATTTAGGTTTCACCAATAAATAGTTAGTACCATAAATACATTTAAAGATTTAAAAGTATAATGCCCATTTTCACCATCAATACCTAATTTTAAGTGAACCCTATGAAAACAAAATACCTGTTAATCATTATTACCATAGGGGTCACTTAAAAATTAGGGATTGATGTTGAAAACGGGCATAAGTCCTCTAACTGCTTATTGGTGAACTCAGACCTAGTAGATTATTTATGTGATTGCAAAATGATATAATATTTATAATTCAATACACTCGCGAGCAAATGTATGGAATCACCCCATTTGTTTCGAGCGATCGTAAGAACTAAATAATTAATAGAAGATAAAATATAAAAAATATGGTACCACTTAAAGGTATTTTACATAGTACCTAGATACTTTAAATTGATACCATAGATACATATTACTTATTTGATTCTATACTTTTGCTCGTGTATATGTTACGGTTAATGTGATAAATTGAAAATTATTAATAATAACCGGTCATTATGAATAATTACCGACATTCGCGGTAAAAGTGATAAATTAATCACATTTAACAGTGATTATTTAATAATTCAACCTTAGTACTAACAAATTTCATAAAAGAGAACAATATCTTGTGTACGTGCTCGTGTACAGCCAAACTTTTGAACGTTATGATATCATAATATTAATATAATTTGGCATAATGAGTTTGGAATGTTTCTTGCATAATATTACTTTTCCATGATGCCTATAACATAATGTTTTGATTTAAAGTGAAAAATAGGTTAAGGAGCGGCGGGGGTGGCCCTTGGGCCACCCCTAAGCCGCCTATTTAGTTTTATACACACATACATGACCTCATATTAATCACATTTACCAAATCATGCGGTAATTATTCATAATAACCGGCGATTATTAATAATTTTCACATTTATCCCTTTGACCGTAACATATACATTAGTTAGCTACCATGATTAGTAAAATAACATAGTATGTTTTAATATTATGTAAGTATGATTAATTGTTCATTTGAGAACATTCACAGAACTCAATTTTTTTAGACTTGGATTTATATTGCTTGTTGTAAAGGATTTCAATTTAATCTATGATTTCGACGAATATAACCAAAATAATGTTTCCAACAGCCCTCAGCACTGATGGCATTACAAGTAATTTTTCATGTTTTTAAAAATGAGTTTTTTGTATCTCAAGCTAATTCAGCAACTCTTTATTTAAAAGATTGATAAGATTTAGGGTTTGCCCTATTATGTATATTCCGCGTTTTAATTAGGTAAATAACTATACCAATGAAGGAACACTTCTACAAAACAAATATGTAGATTACTTACTTCCTACTTTAATTAGCTACTAGAATCCGTTTGTAATAAAATAAAAAATAATAAATTTATTTTAAGTAATTGGAGTTTATTTCATAGACACCTATTACATGAGTTATTTTATTAAATTACAGCTAATAATAAATTTCACGTAAGTGTTAAGTATGTAATAAATGAAATTATATACTTAAAAAAGAAAAATCAGTGACCAATCACTACACTCTAAAACTTTTAACATTAATAATATGTAGTAACTAAATTAAAACTTAATTGAGATTTTAAAGAATAACAAATTACTTTTAATTTATATTACAGGATGTAAGGTGAAGGTTAACAAAACCTTGGTGTCTGTTTAGACTGCTTGAACACATTGTTGTAGATGAAAAAATTAAGAATTTGTAAAATACAACAATGAAAGTCGTAAATTATTATATGCAATATCCAAAATAAGGGTTAACTATCGCCACTCGGGCGAAACACGGCAGTTCTTTTAAACACAGCTTAGAAGAAGTATCATTCTTTATGCAGATCGCTAACACAATTTCAAAGAAAATGTAGATAGTTTACTTAAAGCTCCAATATTAAGACTTCACGAGTCTCGACCCTTTTTACTAATATCATAAGTGAGGTTTATGAAGATTGACGTTTCTTACTCATTCACGCAATATCTACTGAACGGATTATGATGAAACTTTACAGTATTATAGTTTATAACTCGGCTCTGGCATGCGTAAGCTATAGATATAATTCGGGACAGTCACAGTTAATCTTTCGCCAACCTATCCCCTACACCCTGTATTAATTGGAGAATATTGCAATATTACTAATTTTTGTACAGTCGACTGCACAAGAAACTAAGCACTGTGATATCTTATGTAGTTTAGATGATATTATGCATTAATTGGACCGAATTCTAGCCTGATGTGCTGTTCACTGTACTATCAGGGACTCGAACGCCTTGACACCTTAAGGGCCTAAATTGTTTGCACACACACGCTCGATTTTGCTCCGCCCCCGTTCATTCATATTTCGGGTCTAAGCAGCGTCGGCGCACCACTGTAGATGTTTGCCCTAGCAAACCAAGCTCTATGTAAAGCAATTAGGATTGAGTATTGCTTATTACCCGCATCCGTAGCGCTCGTTTGGCAACGTCGCATTTTAGTCAATTTGAAACCCAATAAAGAATCGCTACAAAATATTATATGAGGCTTCGTGTAAAATTTGAACTAGCGATTGCCCGCTCGGGTCACAAAATTGCTATCGCACATTCCGAGGTAACTATGCAATTTCCCGAGAAAAAAGTAGCCCTTTCTACAATTATTGTTGATATTATGAGTGTAAATCTCATGATATTAGTTTAGCTAGTTAGGGCGAGAAATACAAAATCATACAGTTGCTTTCGAATTTTACTTATTTAATAGGTATTTAATTTATTCGGAACTTATTTAAACAATATGTTATTGAATTAATTAGTAAAGTGTTAAGGAATATTTGTGGCTTAAAACAATCATTGTAAGATCTGGCTATAACTTTCTTAAATCCTTGAATGTAAATAAAAACTTATACCTGATAGGTTTCTATTTATTTTTAATGCATATTTTGTTTTCCGTTTTAAAGAAACACTTATCTTTAAAACGGAACATCTCACATCCAGGTAATTGGTTATCGTAAATATTATAATATTCAGTTAGTTTTATTTCAAATTCAATTTTTTATTGCACATTAAGTGTCTTTACACAAGGTCTTAAATCAATAACAATTAAACTTCAAACTAAATAATACTTAAACAGTTAA